CGTATTCATTGGGTCGGGGGGGGTGGGGTGGGTGGGCAGGAGTCTTGCCTGGGGTCCCCCTCTGTCTGCCTGTTGGTTACCTCTCTGGACCACCCCCATGCAGGGATTCCCTGGGGCTGTGCCTCCCACTCACTGGGCTGGCATGGGAGGGGCGCGCTCTCCCCCGTAGTCTACAACGCGGTTATGACTTATGGCAGCGTCACGGCTGCGCTGCAGTTGGCGGGGGGGGGGGGGGGGTGGGTCGGCCTCATTCTGTGCTGAGTAGGCTGGACTTCTGGGCTCTCAGGGGCAAAATATGCCACCTTTTCTCATATGCTTTCAAAGAAAGGTTCTTGCGTTCATCCTCACCTTGGCCTTGAGAGAGAAACTTTGGATCTGGATGACGGACCTGGGGAAACTGAGGCCCAGGGGTGCTGTGGCTTCACCAAGGTCACTCAGGAGGTCCTGCAGAGCTGGCCTCCCAGGCACTGCCTTGCCCTGAAGCTCTCTGGAGGGGCAGGGGCTGAGCTCAGTCTGTAGGCCTCCGCTCCAATCTGGGGTGGACACCCCCCACCCCCAGTGCCCCCTTTCCTCATTCCTGAGAATGGAGGGAGATATAACTTCTGTGGAGGCTCCAGAGTGTCATGGCTGTGAGCATTGCAGGGATCATAATTGTATGAGGACAGGGAAAAATTACTCATGAAAAACAGTCATCTAAGCAGAGGAGCTACGGGCCCCTGCTCTCCTTGTGGGCTCAGGGAGAGAATGAGAGTTGGCTTCCAGGGGAGGAAGGCCGGAAGGGGCAGCCCAGTTCTGGGCTTCAGTCTCGTGTACCAGCCTTGATGAAAGCCGATTGGAAGTTCCCAGGCTGCTGTGGGAAGGACGGGGGACAGGCAGGTGGACGTTCTCCGTTAAGAGCCCTCCTCTCCCTGGAGAAGGGCTGGGGGAACTGAGTCCACCTTCTCTCAGCGTCAACCCCACCACCACCCCGTGGATCTCAGCCCTGCTCCCTCCCCAGCTCCTGTCGCCCGGAGAAATGGACCGCATAGGATCTGTTGCCCTTGGAGGTGAACTTCTCCTGAATTCACCTTGTGAATTCACCCTCCTGCTCCCTGGTGCAGATGCCTTTCTCTGGGGGGAAACTGAGGCGGGCAGAGAGCTGTATTTTATTTTAGAGCTGGAGCCAGGCAGTGTCACTGTACAGGTGAGGAAGCTGAGGCACAGAGGGTGTAGCGAGTTGCTCCAGGGGTCTTACCTGCACCCAGGTCTGCTGACTCCCCCGGCCCATCGCAGGGAAGACCGGATGAGGCCCCTTCCTCTCTCCTCCTCTCCACCTTCAGCCCCTGCCCCGGTGAGGTGAGGCTGTGAGCGCCCCTTGATGGGAGGCGGGTGTCAGCACCCCCTGATGGGAGGCGGGTGTCAGCGCCCCCTGATGGGAGGCGGGTGTCAGCGCCCCCCGATGGGAGGCGGGTGTCAGCGCCCCCCGATGGCAGGCGGGTGTCAGCGCCCCCCGATGGCAGGCGGGTGTCAGCGACCCCCGATGGCAGGCGGGTGTCAGCGCCCCCCGATGGGAGGCGGGTGTCAGCGCCCCCCGATGGGAGGCGGGTGTCAGCGCCCCCCGATGGCAGGCGGGTGTCAGCGCCCCCCGATGGCAGGCGGGTGTCAGCGCCCCCCGATGGCAGGCGGGTGTCAGCGCCCCCGATGGCAGGCGGGTGTCAGCGGTAGGGGACACAGCTCCAGCATCTTCTCCTCCATTGAGATGTGTGTTCAGATTTCTTAGGAAAGAAGCGACTTGAAGATGGGAGCCAAGGTCTCTTGGTTACCTTCCCATCGTGCACCCAGAGAGGACACACAAATTCTGTGGGCCTCTCAGAGCCAAGAGCAGCTATTTCTCCTGCCCTGGTGCCAGCAGCTGTGATCACAGCCACTGAGGGGGCCCACGGGCAGAGGGACTTCAGTTATCCCTCTGACGGCATCACAGGATGGGAAGTCCGTGATTCTGAGCAAAACAGTTACCATGTGCCTGGTGCATGAGTTGATGCTTTTCAGACACACCCTCTGAGCACAGAGCCCCTGAAAGCTGGCCCCTGGTGATTCCATCGCATGCCCTGGGCTACATGATGACCACAAGTAATCACTGGGGTGGCCTGTGGGAGGGGATGGGGTTCCCAGATCTCAGCTGCCCGTGGAGGGACAGTACAATGCCAGAGAGAGAAGTACCCACCGTGTGTCTGGCTCCTCTACCCCCCAAGGGTCCCTTCTAGCCCTTCTCCAGGAGGAAGGCCACTGCCCCATGACCCAGGGAAGCTGGTGGCGATCCCTCCTGGTTGGCAGAGGCAGAGGCAGAGGCAGAGGCAGGCCTTGGAGAGGCCCTCAGGTAGTGGGAAGAGAAGCACTTACAGAACATGGTACCTGCTTCTGGACCAGAGCCCCTATTAGCTTGCACTCTGCCCTCCAAGTTTCCCTACCTGAAAACATGAAAACACCTTCCCCTGATGGGTGGGAGGGCTTTGGACACATGTCAAGTGTTTATTGCAGATGGGAAATGTTATTCCTGGAGACTCTGGTCTAGATTGAAGCCATCTGTTTCCGGCCTCGGTGGGGGAAATGTGGCCAATCCCTCTGCGGAGGCTGCCCTCTCCCCGCCATGGCCAGTCTAGAGCACCCTTCTAGGTTTGGCAGGCAGGCCATCCTTTCCCAGCCCAGTTCATGTTGTGTTTTGGCCCTTGAGGACTTCCTTTCCCCCTCCTCAACCACCTGTGACATTTAACATGATTTCCACACGGTAAAATGTTGATGACTGGTGGCACAGCAGACCTGCCTGCAGGCCTGGATCCTCCCCACTGACTCTGGAATCCCATGGACTCTCCACTCTGGTTCTTCCTGGGAAGGAGCTGGTGAAAGAAATGTAGAGATAATGGGCGTAAAGTGCTGGGAGCTCTTTGCACAGAGTGTCCAGGGTGCAGGGAGGCCACAGAGCATTCAGGGCCATGGGCAGTCTTGCCCTGGGAAGGCTGTAATGTAAGCGCTTAGGGGAAGCACTCAGCTTCAAGTGAGGCCAGCAGCTTTTAGTGCACTGTTTTGCCTGACGTGGGGCCCGGCATTCCCTCCTCTTACCTCTCCAGGACAGCAGTGGGTTTTGCAGCTCACTCACAGGTCAGCATGGGTGGTGTACAGCGGGCCCCTCATTCTTCCCACGAGGTGGCTGGTGCAACTTGTGCAAAACAGGGTAATGGGGGAGTTGAGATGAGAACATGACATGGGCAGCTCATGAGGTATGCTGTGTCCTTGTTCTAGATCTGTCTGGATTGCTCTGGACCAACCAAGGGTGGCTCTTTAGAAGAGCACCAGTGGCCAGAACTTTCTGTCCTGTGTTTCTAGGGCAGGGTAGGTACCCAAGCTGCCACGGTCCTTCCCAGCGTGCCTGGGGCTGGTACTGGAACCCGCAGAGGCAGGGGGAGGGGGTATCCCACTGTCACCTCCGGCCTCCTCGTGATTAGTAATGCTCCAAAAGGAACCTGAAGCCTGGGCCTAATTAGAAAACCAGGATCCAAGTGTCCTGAGCTCCCTCCTTCTGCTTTTCTCACTTTCCACTCTGCTGTTTCACGTGAGCACCTGGGAGGCAGGCTCTGAAGAGCTGAGCTAGGGTGGCTGAGGTACAGCACAGCCCTGTGCCACCTGCAGACCCTTGTTGATGCCAAGTCGGGGCCTCTGGCAGCCTCAGAGGATCAGAGGCAGAGAGGTCAGGCCAGCTTCCAGCCAGAAGCCAAGCCTGCCCTCTCCATGACTGAGTGGCCTCACCAAGGAAGGTGACCCCGGAGACAGGAGCCTTCTCCTTCCTCTAGCTGAGTCTTCTCAGAATTGTGCCCAGCCAGCGGGACACTGGCCCCAGGCCACGGGGTCCAGGCAAAAGAGCAAGGCACCCTGAGATCTGTGGAGATACCGATGAGCAAGGTGGACTTCTGGCCAGTTGGCCAAGGATACGGCTATTAGGTTTTTGATGTGGAGGCCAACCGTGCTTGATGGAGGGCTTGGGAGCATGGAGGCCGGCACACCAGACACACTGCCTGG